TTTGCAATCGATTTTCTTTTTCTCAGGTCAATCGCTTTCTTTTCAAATTCTCTCTTATTATTATTATAATTGTTATTATTATTATTATTATTATTATCATTATTATCATAAGTATTTGAACACCTGTAAAAGCCCACTTTCTTCGTGAGAGAACGTGATTGTTGTCACGCAACCGCTCTAAATAATCTTGTAGTTTCATGCGAAGCTAGATGATCGAACGACGAAGAACTAAAATTAGGGCTAAAATATGCATGGTCCCAGTCGTTTGGCAATAAAAGGTATTTAGAGATTGGATAAGCCACCCGAGGGCAGGAAACATCTCGCGTTTCACTTGCAAAAAGGACTGGGATAGAGAAGAGAGCTTTTGGTTGAGAAATGTTCAGCAAGCAACCGTGGACGATAATCCTACTCTTGTACGCTGGATCAGCAGTGATCAGTGATCTAATCGGCCCAAATTAACGAATATAAATATAGACTGAGGCAAGACCGATACAACGTAGATAAGTTTTAAGACGGAGCACCGCTGACACCGCTGGATATGCTTGAGTCCTTGTTACTAAATCCCATTCCTGCTTCTGTATTTCTCGAGATGCTCCGGTTAGATTTGCAATCAATTGTGTCGACGCTATATCATACTTTCATAGAAATAAGCTGCGACTGTTTAAAGCCAGGACCTCAAACGATAGTATTACCAGAGCCACAGCTTTGTCGTCATGGATGAAACGATCGAATACGAAGAAGAACAAGATAGGACTCGCGATCAGTTAAACACGGATGAACAAACGATTACGGGTAGCCATGATGTCACAGGAAATACAGCAGAAAGCGGTGTTCCCTTGTCAGAACAGTTGGCCTTTATCATGGAATCAGAACAGGGATTACAGAATCTAGGGGCTGTACTGCAAAGATTTCCGAGTACAGATGAAAATCTTACAAACTCCCAGGATATGGTCGAGTCGATAACGAAAGCGGAAGTGGGAAGACCTTCGACACAAGAAGACGTGGGCTCTTTGACAGCCAGTGAAACGACGACAACAAATATTGCTTTGTACGACAAGGATTTTCAGCGCAAAATCATTTCGCTGCGACACCGGAAATCAACCAAATTAAACCTGAATGTAGAAAAATGTCAAAACGTAGCTGTAGGCGATGGCGCGGAAGTAAGCATCTGCTGTAACAACAACGGGTTTAATAATCAGAACAAGAGGGCGAAATCAACCTCTTCCCCATCGAATGAAAATGTTTCTCTCTTGCAAGCCGATGGAGATATCAAAAACCCGATCTCCTCGCCAAGAAAACAACCGAGGAAGCGATTTCCGCAGAAGAAAAGTAGCAAAAATCATGCCTCGAAAAGGAATTCCTCAAGAAAAATGAAAGCAGAGTGGCAATTTCCAATGTGTTTGTCAGATTTCACAGATTCTGTGAGACAGGAGAAAGACATCGATCAGTGGCTTAAACAACTTAAACAGACCTTGCTTCCCAAAATACAAGATCTGGATGAATTCGAGTTAGTAATAAAGACTATGGAAGAAGATGGAAGACCGAGAGAAAGTTCAATTCCAAACCGTATCGAAAAACTTGACGAGGCTATTCAAATAGCACTAATAACGTCCCTGATGGAAGAGGAAGAAAAGAAAAAATACCAGACCTTGATAATCGAACTGCAGTTTGCATTAGCAGAGTTTTATATAAAGGAAGATTATCTTAAAGCTTTAAATTGTTTGAGAGAGTTGGAGAGAGATCTGATCGAAGGATTCGAAAGTCAAAAATCTAGACTCTACGCCAAAATGGCCAAAGTTATGGAACTGTGCTTAGAATCTTCCATAGACTTTACTAACAATGAGAACGAGCTAGAAATCGCTCCTGGAACTCAGTTTACTGACCAAAACCTGGATGATGTTGTCTTGAGTTACTTCAAAAAAGCTTTAGAGTCGAGCAACAACGAGGCTTTACTTCAAATATCTTGTTATTTAGGAACGGCATCTGTCCTATTGAAATGCTGCAAGGGACAAAATGAAACTAGGAATTTGACACAAGTGCGAGAGAATTTGAGATCAACAGAAATCCTCTTCAATCGTATTTCTCCAGCATTGAAGTGCCAATATTACTTGGCTGAGGCATTTTTGCTCTACCACGAAGGACGGTACAAAATGGCGAGGGACAAACTAGAAACATTGAAGGATCGTAAAATTATGATTGCCGACGAGGAAGATCTTATGGTGAGGTTGAAAAGAGAATGCCTAGGTTCGAAAAGGTTTCAGTTTCTCAAAGAGGAATTAGAAAAAGCACTGGCTGAAACAGTTCGCTCTGGAGAGGCGGTTTTCGAACGCATGGCAATAGACGACTTTCTTACAGATTTGAATTTATTACAAGAGAAATTGTAGATCTAAATTACAAGTGCCCAATTTCTGGCTATCATGACAACTCCGCTCATTTCGAATTTTCAAATATTGTATTATCAATTGCAGTTGATCTAAAATGAATGTTTTATCTAGCTTTTAATTTTAAAGCCAGTGAGCCAAACCTTTGTCATCGCCGAAACGTGAGGCAAATCTAAAATTTTGGGAAAGCTATAAAAGCTAGAATTCAACGATGTTTTTTCTGCTTAACTGTTTCAGTTCCTATGTCAATAAAGTTGAACTAACATTACAAGTTGATATAAAATGAATGTTTTATTTCAGAGATGTATTCTTGTACAGCCAGAGAGCCAAAACTATTTCATAGAAGTTGTGAGGCAAAATGAAATTTTGAGATAGCTACAAAGGGTATAGTATTTAGGTATATTTATCATACAACATATATCAGGTATAATTATTGTGCTCAAGTTTTCGTAAGGGGAATTTTGTCAATAAAGTCAAACTTAAGTCTTTTTTTCCCGTGACGTCAGCCTACTTATATAATTCCTTCAAATTGTCTATTTATACGACATAGTTATAGTTTCAGTTAAGTTGAAAGCTGCCGGATCACCTTGTTTTGATCAATTCTTATTTGACTGTGGGCTATTTGACTGTGGACTATTTGAGGTCGATTCGACTCAAGGTTTTGAGTTCGATTTTGCTTGAACTCTTTTAAAGCGTTTGCTCGTATGCTTTCCGCAATTACAGTTTTCACTCAAAATATCCGATATTTCGGTCCTCGAAATCTAATATTTTGTAGCCAGACAACCTTCACAGCGAATGCTACCGTGACATTATTTTTGCCATCATGTATGATGTGACATCATTTTCTTTTTTTACATTTTTCTCCAACCAATAGAAACTATGTATATACGATGATGCGCAATAAAGATATTTCAACTCTTATTTACATAGAGGAACCCTCTCGCCTTTGACAGCCGCATTTTGATGGAGAAATAGAGTTTCGAAATTACATTCTTCGTTTCAAAGGGCTCAGTTACAACAAATATATCACTGGGGAATTGATTTCACCATACCAAGAGTGAAAAATGTTGCACACCTAGAAACAACGTGGAGAAAATATGAACTAAATTTTAATGGCCGAGTGTAATGGCAAACAAGGACCTCATGACCATAATTCTGAAATTACTTCCACTAAAAATTGTAACAGAAAGGAATTAAATAGCCTTCAATGCTGTGATTTTGATGGTCAGCAAGTACAAATCGACGCTACAGGTGTCGATGTGATAAACGTGGACTTGATCAGCAATGGAACTGTTTTGTTGGGAGATGACTCGACTGTGAAAATTTGTCAACAGTGTTTTCGTCGACAGACACAACATTCGACACAACACTCAGAAGACAAAACTAACGGATCGGCGGATGGAAGTGGAGTGCTTAGGTCGAAGAAACGTCGAAGAAAACGGCGAAAGAGATCCTCGCAAGAACCATCGACTTCTCGGAAATGTGTCGGAGACGGAAATTCGGCCGATAGTGAAAACTCAGACGGCGATGAAACTTCGGCATTCCAGGATTTCCTTAATAATGATTCTGACGATGATTAGTCAGGTTGTACTGAGTCAGAAACATGCTAGCGGTGCCGAAGACAGTGGAGTTGCCAAAGGTGAATCGTGCAAGGCAGAAACGCAATTTTAAGGCACTGAAGTTTCGCTTTCAACTGGTCGGTGCTTAGAGCGGACGAGCAAGTCGAAAGGCAGACCACGTTGAACATATCATCAGTCAAATTCTATCAAAATTTAACTATTTTTAATATTTCTGATAACAAAAGAAGTCTCACGTTTTGCGTTTTTCACCTACAGTTATAAATGACTTGAAAATATTATTTATGCCTGTTGATTTTGTGACATAGCCGATGTCTTACATGACGTCCATCATGAAACTATTCCATGCGAAGCACCTATGGATAAATTCGGAGGTCATTGAATATTCCTGCATGTGCAGTATTCTAAACATTACGAGGAACTTAAATTTCTAGCAACGCAAATCGTTTATGATGATAGATGAAGCCGAGGAGTTATTTAAACAAGTCCATGCGATAATTCATGACAGCTTTCACAAATCTAAACCTTTATCTGGCGGCATAAGTCCCTATACCTTGGGCTCATCGGCCTTTTCCTTTTAAATTCGTGAAGAAAGCGCAGGAAGCAATTTTTCTGGCCCGTTTTGGTCCACCTTCCTTGATTTCCTTTTGATTTTGGACTTGCAAATTGCTCGTTCGACTAGTAATCGTCAGTTTTGTATAAAACTCTATGATCGCCGCGATGTCATTTCAGACTCGCATAGGGAGTTGGGGGAAAACACGTTTTAGGATAATAATTCGGTATCTTTTTAACTGATGAGTAGATCTATGATTCTTCTTATGTCAACTGTACTTAACTTATTAGGAAAATTCGCCTTTTAAACAGGTTGACGTAAAGTAGGGTTTGCAAGGGTCTTCACCACAACATTGTTCTGAGTTCAATGAAAAAATTTTCCTCCAGTATGTAGCTGATTGCATTTCAAGTCGCCGGAGCATAAACGCACTTTTAAGTCAAGAAGATTATTCGATAATTTTGATTGGTGTGGGGAAAATTGTAAGGAAAATAAAGTGTGTAATAAATATAATTAAGCGATACCAGAAACAAGATATCTCGCTGATAGCACGTTACCATAAGTGTCTGTCCAAAAATTTCAGCATTGTAGGCACAAGACTACATAATTATTGATTAATTAATCCTTTTTTTTTTCAACAAATGTTTCTTTATTGTTCTCTAAGTGGCACTATCCACTTGTACTCGTGCTTTCGCCGACTAAGAGCTTCAACGATTTGGCCATCTACACTGCGATATCGATAGAAAATGATTCTGTACTTCACCACTAAAAAAAGGAGAACACTCCAACTTTGATAAAAACATGTCCTTAACAATCCAACACGAATTTCATTATCTTCAGTAAAATGTATTAAAAGACTCATCGAAATTAGAACTTAAGCGCAAGACGAACTAATTTAAAACAAATTTGGTATAACACGTGAATAACTCCGAAGAGCGATGTCACCAACGCGCCTTATTTAACGCTTTCCCTTCGGTTTCGCCACGTCCATCATTCTTTTAGAACCATCATGGCAGTTGTCAAGAGCCATGTTGTAGTTGGACCCCCCAGCCTTGACGTAATCAGCTACTCTGGTTCCAGGCCTTGCTGTCTGAGAGCCTGATGATTTCCAGTCTCCGCTCATGTGCTTGGCATTGGTAACAACCGTTTGGCCTGAGGAAAAAGGAAAAGTGGTAGAATTCCTTAATAGCTTCCGTGCCAAGGGGGCCCGTGTCGCTTTTTGGGCCGATCTTCACTGTTTGCAGGATCGAGCTTGGACATAAAATTTAATCTAGTCAATTATTGTCATAGCTATTGAAGAAAACATGCTTTGAAATCACATACTTGAGTCTCCGTATCCTGAGCCCTTATGAACCAGCCAGCGGTCACCGCTGTTGGTTGTCACCACTACACCAGAGTGCTTGAAACCAATTGATCCTCCCGACCCCCCAAGGGGCCTTGTCACATGCTCTACGGATTTCACGCCTGAGTTGTACAGGCCCGTGAGACCCTGTTTACTGGTGATGTCATGAGGACGTTTGCCGCCCGAACCAGAACTAGATGAAAAACTGCATAAAATGAATAGGATAGGAAAAAAAACATGAGAATCATGTTGTAATGCTGGGAACCACTCACGGCAGAGTAAATTTGTGGTCGGATCCTTTCAGACATGCATATCATCATGGACTAGATCGACGTCGCTTGCGAATAAAGCAATTGAATTACTAGGCTGGTATTGCAGTAAAGAACATTTTCAATGTACTTCTATTTTGACTTGTTCGAGCTAGTGTCACTAAACTTCCTCAAAGAGAGAACCCGCTTTTATAAAACACATTTAGTGGGCAGCGTTACTCTACAAGTTACATGCATGTAGTATGTTTTTCCGATTCAGACATAAGTCTGTATTTATATTATAATCCATTCAAATCCGAAACAGCTTCGACTTATTATTGATTTATGTCACAAGATCGTACTGAGTTTTTCAGGAAAATAGCGAGATTAAAAAACTGCGTCACACGTTAAAATCAAAATAGATTTATTTATGGGAATGACGGTCAACTTGAAGTTTAAATTTCCACGAAACACAGGAAGGTGAGATATAAAGGTTAAATCAGAACCTTCTGGAACCAAAGAATTTCTAGGAAATTAAGGAACTGAAGTTCAAATGTTTTTAAAAAGGGGAGATCGAAAGCCATGATTCCAGGCAAAACTGCGAAAACTTAAATAATAATAATAATAATAATAATCATATAATAATAATACGGTATTTATATAGCGCTATTTCTACCACTATTCAATAGCGCTGTGCAGTAATTTTATAAATCGCACCGATAAAATTATAAAACCGTAAAAATCTCTAAAACACGAGTAGAAGAAACTAGCTAATAAGGTAGTCTGCAATAATGAGAGTAAAAGCTTTAAAACTTATAATGAAATTGACTAATTTCATTATAACTAAACTTGCGCAGCTTACAAAAAAATACAAATGAATAAAGGCTGATAGTTTCCAAAGAAACTGTTTGGGGCTGCGTCGATGGGAGTAACGAAATAATTTGGATATATCAACAAAGTTGAAGTGGTAAATTGGCCACCGTAACGATTACAAAAGCTGACGTCTCGAGCGTTAGCCCATCGTCGCAGCGAATTAAATAAAAAATAGTAGCCATTCAGTTCTAATTCGCCAGAACTGATTATAAATAAAAATTGTTTGATTCCTGAGGGCGATTAAACATGAAACTGAAAATGCACAGAAATCGTTTCCATAATGATAATAAGGATCTCAGTTATGGGAAATTTATGCTAAAGAGCAAACGTAAGGCCGGACTCTTCGTTCATGCTGACTGGTTCCCCAAAAATACAAATTGATTTTTATCTCTCGCACTTGATCTTGAGGAAATTTCGATATGGATCTCAATCACTGAGCACAAACTGGCTGCTTTTGCCTCTATCAAGACCTATCAGAGCTTGAATTTCTTTCTGCGAACCTTAATTAATTATCAGGTATAATCACTTCACTAAAATTAAGCGAAAGGTTATGATACACTAAACTTTGTTCATCCTCGCCTAAAATGGAAGAGGCCAGAACTTAGACATCGTTAGGTCAAGAGCAGCAAAGTGTTCACAGAAAACGAAATATATCGAAGGGACATAATCAGTTAGCGTCTGTAATTGATCATTATTGCTTCACCTTCTACCAGACACAAGTTTCGAACGACTTAACAGTATTTTCGTATGAGAAATCTTCAGCTTCGTTCATTTCCTGATGAGTCCCGAGGCTTGATTTATAATATCATGAAGGCACATTCATTGTAAATGACTTGAAATAACCGCTCGAGACAAAGATTTTGAATTTCTCTTCACTACCGAGTTGGTTTTGCGTTTCGTAGAATTTCATCCAGACCTGACTCGTAACTGGAGATTCCCTTACGTAAATTCACTCGTAAAAGTTCACTACAGGTGTATTAAAATCTTCGGTAGATCGCAACTTTTTCTTGAGTCATGCCACTATGAAACTGCCACGAAAGTTGTTAGATCTCTTTTCACATCCCGGAAGTAGAACAAGATTACTTCAGTTAAGAGATCGGCTGGTGAACATCTAAGCTTAAGAGTTAAATAAATATCTTACCTCATTTTATTTTTTGTAAATCTCCCAGACCGAAAGAAATGTGTGGCTGTTTATTACACACTGATCGTCAAACGTCTTTCGATGAGACGGATTTCTGGGTAAATTCGCACCTCGATGCGTATGCCCCTACTTAGCCAATCAATCGCGATCAATCGCTAGGTAGAAAAGTACTGGTCAGGAGAACATGAAATAAAAAGTGAACCAAATTCACGATGGTCCATTGCTAGATTTACAGTCTCTTTGATGCTCGTGTAGTTAAGTTCAGAAATAAAACATGACATAAAAAAAAACTCGAAAAAAAAACTTGTTTTCAGTAGCAAACACAAAAGCATAAAATTAAGAAAATAAAAGTTTAAAACATGTAGGGAAAATTAAAAAGCGCTTTACGGAGGCTACGCGCGAATTGTACAAACTTGTGAGTCATTGTTTAGATTTGATGTCATGAGGCCGTCTTCCGCCTAACAGGGAGCCAAAAAAGCTGAAAAAAAAAATAAAACACGAAAAGAACACAAAACAAAATGAGAAAAAGATAGGTAAAAAAATAAATGAGAAACTTTTTTGTCTCTCTGTGTTCCTAAATCCTGTTTGTGTAAATTGCTCGGCTGCAAATGGACTAAGTGCGACACTATTTACTACCAAGAAAGACATGTCGTTCACGCGCACGCGCGTGACCATGCACAGCTCCTACGTGTCGATGTTACAAACTGATACCCTGCACAGCATGCGCATTTTTATTTGTTTAGTTATTAATTAATTTATTTATTTTGCGTTTTTTGGGGCGAATGGAAGCAAATGCAAGGTTACACTCCTTCTCTTTCGCGTGACTCGCATTTCGCACTTGCTTCTGTTCGACTCAAAAGCGAAGAAACATTTACACTGTTCTGCGTGCTATAGAATTAAAAGTTACCTCAAGTTGCATCCATCGGGGAATGCCAATAAACACAGGAAGCACAGCTGCAGGGCTATGACAGTGACGAGGTGGGTCATTTTCGCTCCTGCGGTTTTTATCTTCGTAAATATTAAAAAATCTAGAATTGGTAAATATTGTTATTCATTAATGCCTTGGTCTAATCTTAGAGAATTCTTTGTTCCCAGTTGTTCTTGAACGTGAAGGGCCGCACTTGGAAGAATTTTGCGCAAAACATCATCAGTTTAGTTTTACTCACGTTATAGTCGGGTTCAGTTTTCATTCTATTTTTTTTTTTTTTGTCATTTTGAAAATTCCCCTATCTCGTTTACCTCGCCAGAAGTTAAACAAGTTCCTCTCAAAAAAAAGAAACCGATTGTTGATGGAGCTCGTGGCTATTGTCCAATGATCTGTTTCAGTCGAATGAAACTGAAAGCTACACAGGACTTTTCCCCTGAACTTTGATTGTCCCACCTTTTGTCCTTAATATTCCTAAGACGATAATTTTCCAATGAAAGTAAGACTAGCTGCATCAGTATGACAAAAACAATAAATCAAGCAAGATCGGAATCCTAAACATCACAACTACTCGAAACTGAAAGTGTCGAGAGAGCAAAAATTTCATGTGTGCCCTTGAACTGTCTTTAAAACATGCAAGCTTTCCATCGCTTAAACTTGCTACATCAGCAATAACTAGTTTCTTACTCTTTTTTTCTGCTGTGTTTGAGATGATTTCACACAAATGTTAGGAAAATTTACGAGGAAATATCAGCCGTTGGTTCTCGCGCAATGAATTCAGTTCCATGGTTCATTGAAACCAGTTTTTCAGTTTCCTTTCAAATGTAAGGACTGATCCCGATCACAGTTGCAGCTTCGCAGAGCACATCCGTCAGAAATGGAGCTCGAAACGATGCCTACCTGTTTCAATGATTAAACCCAGATCTCAGTTGTACTTCAACGTTGATATCTAAGTCCTTTATGTATTGGTTATTATTTGAGAAGTGCCCAGACCATTGTGATCAGCTTGGTCAACACCGGTACCCCAAGAAAGGCTACTTCCGTTTCCTTGAATGAAAAAATCGAGTCACTTAAAAAATGAAATTAGACGCAAATTTGTGGTAAGCAGCTAATTACGCTCGGTTAGCTGAACACGTGACACCTACGCTTGGCGCTCTGTAGGCTGGGCCTGCGTGACGATCCTACTTTGTGCATTGCGTTGACAGTAACTTACGTGACAAGGCCAAACAAAGAGGCGAGGGGGAATTTTGCATCTCTAAAATCCCGAAAATGTGCTTTCCCATTCAAGTAACTTCATTGAAAATGCAACCCCATTAAAGTTAACCCAGTCCTGAAAATGCAACTCCACTTGGAACTTCCCCGTCAGCCTATAACCAGGGGAGTACCCCCTCCCCCGGGGCTATAGCCTCATCGTTAGTGTTGCGTGATATTCCTAAGAACGATGGCTAAGGTGACTGTCGTTACGCAGCACCACAAAAATGGTGACGCACTTCAGCTCAGGATAGAGTCCAAACTGCATAGAACAATCCAAACCTTTTTTTTTTTTTACAATCCAAAACTTACCGATAGAGACAAATACCATCATGAAAAACTAGAGGAGAGATTAAGCAGTGATATTATCGCTAATATTTTGAACACAATATACATTTTTACTTCATTAGCCGTACTCCTAAACAAACAAAGCCATTAGCCGTTGCATACCGGCGTCCAGTTTGAAATCTGATCTTCATTAGCGTGGAAGCTAAAGCGGAAATCGACATCTCCAAGTGTCTTGTTTTTGTGACTAATTATTATTGCACTAATTAAAAACAACCGACTCTTAAACTAAATACTTTCCCGAATTGAGAGGATTAGCGATAATCATACGAATTTTTCTTCAATGAATGATGTAGGCGCCAAGTTTAGATCGAACTTTCGTTTTGCATTGTAGGAGAGAAATCAGCCAATCAGAGCGCGCGATAAAACCAACCACAATAGAACACCAGATCCTAACAACCATTGTTATTGAAATATTGAAACAAACGGTCGCCAAGCATTCTCCCACGAAATATTTGAGTTTTAAAAAGCTTCGTCTAGCAACCACAGAGGTGATACAAGCATAAAATATTTAAGATTTCGCGAGGAGTTGTTGAACGTGGGATAGCTCTCAGAGGAAATAACTGAGAAGAATTGAGAATCATCGTACGCCATTTTTGATTCTCGAAGAGCTGCTTTCGAAATTTAACTCAAGAGCTTCATTTTGACACAGCTGTTCGAGTCAAACCGTTGAAACTGTTTGCAGTTAGTTACAGTTTGGATTTTGTCACCTTCTTTCAAGCGAGGCGTGTAAAATAACGATTTGTTCAAGCTGTAATGCGAATGGCTACTACATACATCTAGTTGTGGGAACGTTAATTTTGCAGAGCGTGAGCTGTAACCCTTGAAGACGGTATATTCTGACAGCTGTTTCCTCATTGTGAAGTTTGAATTCGCCAAGTTTTATTTATCAGCTTTGTATGAAGGTGCTTTGGGGAAAGGTGACAACTTATTCGAAATGGCGAGCAAACTTTGGTTCGTGTAGAATTCAAGAACGTTTGGAAAGCTGGTTTTACAGAACAAATACCGTAATTGTTACGACATCAGGTCGCTGCTGAACTGTGAAAGAAAGATTTGCGTGGAATTTGTGGACGTAAAAGGAAATTGAACTTGTCTGAAGGGCAATGTTACCGCCGTCGCTACATTTCGACTGTCGACGAATGGCATATATTTTACCCGTGTTATGGGTTGTTTTTTTAAGAATTAATGTTGTCTCTGCTCAGAACGACTCGTCCATACTGTCGAACTCACTTTGTATTCTTCGATGTCCTTCAGGACACCACTGCTTTAACAATACCGTAGAAACAACGGTCATAGAGTTGGGCCACAATGGCCATATTTGTACAACTACAGATGAATGTTACGGGGAGGATGACCCGTTAGGATTCCGTCCCGGGCCTAGACAAAAACCTCAAACAGTTGTGTATGGCGATACTGTTCTCATAAAACCCAAAGAAATCACAGTAAAATTTCTAAAGGTGTCTAGGGACATCTTCTATAACTGTGGCTCAGGTGGACAACTTTTTCAAAATTTTACTTCTTCTCAATTCCCAGTACCATCAAAGTATTTAACTCCACTAGGGATCAATTATTTTATTGCAAAAGATGCTCTGTTTAGCTGTAGTTTTGGGGTTAGACTTGAGCTGTATGTGCGCAGTCGTCAACAGCTGAACTGTACAAATCCAGCATTACCCAACCTCGGTGTCTGTAGTGGAGTAGGTCTTTGCACCAGTGCCAGTCAGACCTATTTTACGCGTGATTACGCATGCAATTGTTGCGATGCATACAAAGGGAGATATTGGGAGGAACTTGACAGCTGTCATTCAAGCAGAAATCCTTGTAAAAATGGTGCCACATGTACAGATATCAAAGATGGCACCGCTGATAGTTTTAATTGTACCTGTATGCCAGGGTACACAGGGACTTTCTGTGAAACAAATATTGATGAGTGTAGTTCCAGTCCATGTATTAATGGGTTTTGTGTGGATTATATAAATAAGTACGCCTGCTTGTGTGATCCAGGATTTAACGGCCCAAACTGTCACGTTGTTATCCCAGACCTCTGCGCCAATAACCCATGTGAAAATGGTGGATCGTGTGAAAGATCAGGAAGTAAAGGGCAAAACTATACTTGTGCTTGTCTTCCTGATTTTACTGGACGAAACTGCACAGAAAATGTCACTAGATCAGCAAGTCTGTTAGCATCTACAATGCTTACTCTAACAAGTGTATCAACAATTGAGCTTCATACTTCATTTATTGGGGATTCTAGCTTTGTTACACAAAGTGTTTCCTCATCTGTTCGGGCCAAAAGATTGTCATCTTCTGTTTCTGAGTCTTTGTCTCAAGGGAGTACAATTGTTACTGGCACCTCAGTATTGGGAACATTGTCACCTACAGCATCTCCCAGGATATCATCATTTCCAGGGTTTGTGATTTCTAGCACTGAATTAGAAACAGCACCTTCACCTTCAATCTCATCTTTAACTTTGCAACAGTCAGTTTTGGGCAGCGCTCCCAGTGGTATTTCAAAGCCAGCATCATCTCTGTCATCATCAACAACCTCATCATCATCATCATTTTTGTCAGTTCACATGTCAATCAGTTCTTCAGTTGAAGCCCTATCCACCTCAAATGTTTATGTTTCATCTTTAGAAGCCATCTCCACATCAGTTGGAATTTTTTTGACAGCTGACACATCCATGCAGACTAGAAAAGACACATTCAGTTCAGTTACCATGTCGACTGCATTCATCAGAAGTGTTGCAACTCCATCTTTGCACTTGACGTCATCGCTGCACTTGACTTTATCCATGCAGGCATCTTTATCTGATATAGGATCAGGTGCATCTTTTTCCTCGTCGTCATCATCCTTACCATTACCAACATCACAAGCAGTGACACCAACCATTGCACTTTCCACGGGCAGCTCAACACTGTTACGACCAGATGCATGGTAATCTTCATCATTGTCCTCATCATTACGGACATCACAAGCAGTGGAACCAAGCATTGCACTTTCCAGGGGCACCTCAACACCATTAGGACCAGTTGCATCTTTGTCTTCATCATCATCCTCATCATTACTGACATCACAAGCAGTGATGCCAACCATTGCCGCTTCCAGGGGCACCTTGACACCATAGTCTTCATCAGTGTCTTCAGTATTAGTGACATCATCACAAGGGGTGATGCCAACTGTCACACTTTCTAACAGCACCTCTACACTTCTTTCTCCTTCTATGGCATTGCACTCTGAGGTAACAACACCTTTAGCCATCACAACAGCCCTTCCATCAATGTCTACTGTCTTTTTCAGGTCAACTGCTGAAATATCTTCATCGTTTGCTTCATCTTCTGTGGTTCCCACAATGCCACCAATTCCAACTACTGTACCTTTGATTAACCAGACATGTGTTCATAATCCTTGTAACAATGGAACATGCTTCAGCGAGCCATACTTACAGTTTGGATTCCGCTGTGAATGTCCTTATCCAACCATTGGACCTGTTTGTCGTGGTATAGCTGGTGAGTGCTGATCAAACTTTTTCTTGTGACTGTTCTGTTTAGTCTGGTTTTGTGCAGTGAATGCGCCAGGGGATGGAGAATTTGAACCCTGCCTGGCTTGGATGGGGAATTTGAACTAAAAGTATCAGGTCTTTCCAAAGGAATACATTGGTTTTATGTCTTTAAATACAGAGATGTTAAAGGTAAAAAAATTCACTTCATTGGCAAATGGTTTAGAAAAAAAAGTGTACAAGATCTGGGTTTTAGAGCATGGTCAATGTGTAGAAAGTCACAGTCACTGATTTTGCCTTTTACAGTAAAATTGGAATTTAGGGTTAGATCAAGGTAAAACTTCTACCTGATATTTTGAGTATTCTCATTACCTATCTTCTGAATAATGTATGGATATTATAGGGAGAAAGTACTTGTTAATCACTTCTGGGAGCTAAGGATTAAGGGTCAAGCTTTAATTTCATTTGTAGTAACTAAGCCATTTTAGGCAAGTACTAAAAAAAATACATGTGTACATGTTAATTGTACCATAATATTACTTTTCTACTTTTTTTTTAACTTCTTTTTGCAGAAAGTGATCTTCATTTCCCAGCTTTTGGAAAGAACTCTTTCCTGGAACACAAGAGCAGGTCGTTTAATAATGAAATCAACAGGATAGACATAACATTCAAGACGAATGCCTCTGAAGGTCTGCTGCTCTTTGCAGCTGATTCTAAAAAACGTGGGGATTTTATCCAACTTCATGTGTCAGGTGGTAAACTTGAGTTCAGATTTGATCCCGGTGACAGTTTAGTGTACATCCAAAGCAACCAAAGAGTGGACACTGGGGAAATAATAACTGCAACAGTCACGTAAGTTTTTCTTTCGTGTAGGTATGTTATGAATTCAAGTAAAGAAGTGAACTCTGCATGAAAGACCAACCGTCAATTAGCTGTCAGATCTTAACCTGTATCTGTGGCAAGATAGTGAGCAGGGATTATTGCCTCTTGCTCCTGGATATTGTCTAGTTCATTACAGGCAATTACATCCTCCTTCCCCTCCCCTCCCACTTTTGATGATGCCTTCAGATGACAAAAGTCTTTTTCAAGTTCTGCTCAGTCCTTTGTTTCGTTTAACCTATGAAGATCTCCATGGTATTTTAGCGCATCGCGGCAAAAATTCCCTTTGGCAATCTTTAAAAAGCCTCGTCAAAAAAAATACTGAAAGCCTATTCTCACCAATTGTTGAAGAACTTCTTTCTTTATTAAAGCGTGTTGACTATTCAACTCCTTTTGAATTTTTTGCCTATTTGCTTAATGCTCAAAAGGGGCGTCAGCGCTTTTTGAAAGTTTTTGGTCATGGTGTTTTGGAAATTTTAGATGAATTTCTAAGAGTCATTTCTCACTATGAGGCGAAACACTCCACAAGTTTACAAGGGTTCCTTCATTGGTTTGATCATTTTCCAGGAGAGGTAAAACGAGAGCATTCACAAAGTTATGACGAAGTTCAGGTGCGCACAGTTCACAGCGCCAAAGGACTTCAGTCTCCGATTGTGATTCTGCCTGATACAGTTCGCATTCCAAAATCCCAGGATTCTTTGATTAGAGAAGAAAAAGAGCTGCTCTGGATTCCCACAATGGAAGGGCATATTTTTCAAACACGCAATAGTGTGTCCAAGCATCAGGTGGCGCTTGAGCAAGAATATCGCCGTTTGCTGTATGTGGCGATGACGCGTGCAGAAAATCATTTAATTGTTGCTGGATGGGCTTCTAAAAAAAGAATGGAAAAAGGATGCTGGTATCATCTGGTCGAACAAGGAATGAAGAAAATTCCAGAGGCGAAAGAGTCACAAGAAGGAAGCTTTATTTTACTTGATAATTGTGAGGAAAATTCTTTTGATTTTACGAAAGATAAAAAGCCTTCTGTGTTTTTGCAACCTCTCCCTCCCTGGACTAATCAGAGCTTAGATTCGCAAAACAAAGAAGAATTCTTATCCCTAGATACTTCAGAAACTCTCAAAACAAAGAGCCTACAAAGGGGGTCTTGGATTCATCTTCTTCTGGAGCATTTACCAAAGATTCCTGCTACTCAATGGGAAAAATTTGCGCGAACATTAATTCCAGCCTCTGTTTTAAGGGGCAAAGACTTTGACGACCTTTATGAAGAAGTGGTGAATTTACTAAAAAATCCTCATTTGCAACATTTATGGGTTCCAGAAGCGCGCTTTGAAGTACCAATCTTAAGTGAAAAAAATGGCCTCCAAAAATCGATCCGTTTAGACTACTTAGCGGTGTTTCCAAAATACATCCATGTTATAGACTATAAAACAGATACAAATCCCCCAGATCACGTCCAAAAAATTCGCCCATCATATTTGAAGCAAATTGCAGAATACACTCTATCCTTAGAACAGCTATACCCAAACCATGAAATAAAGGCGTCTATTTTGTGGACTCATACAGGCGCAATACAAGATCTTCCGTTCACACTTATAAAGCGTTAAAGTAGAGAAAATGTTTTAAAGGTTGCGTGAAAGGTTAAAAGGAAAAAATTTATGTCTCCGTCTTCTAATTCTGTTCAGATTAACATTCAAATGCTCCCTTCGGGCAAAGGGCTTCCAGCCCCTAAAATTCAGACAGAAGGAAGCGCAGGATTAGATTTGCCTGCAGCAATTGATAGTAATGTTGTTCTAAACCCTGGAGAACGCACCTTAATTCCAACGGGCTTTGTTTTGGGGTTACCAAAAGGATTTGAAGCACAGCTACGTCCTCGGTCTGGGCTCGCCTATAAACATGGCATTACTGTTTTAAATACGCCAGGGACAATAGACAGTGATTATCGTGGTGAAGTAAAGGTCCTTTTGATTAACCTGGGAGCAGAAGATTTTATAATTGAACGAGGGATGAGAATTGCTCAAATGATCATTGCACCTGTTCCATCCGTTACGCTTAAAATGGTTTCATCTTTAGATGAAACAAACCGTAGCATCGAAGGATTTGGGTCAACAGGAATGCATGCTACGTAGCGTTAAAAAAGAGTAAAAGGGAGAAGATTAATGGTTGGAATACGTTGGATTGTCCTAGGAGGATTTGTCGCAAATCTTTTCTTGTCAACCGTTGCAAAGGCTGAAACAGGTCTTCCTATTCCGCGTTTTGTTTCTGCGCGTTCTGGACAAATCAATGCTCGGGTTGGTCCTTCAAAACGTTACCCTGTAGAGTGGGTTTTTGTCATATCAGAACAGCCTTTTGAAGTCTTACAAGAATATGAAAATTGGCGCCGTGTGCGCAATCATGAAGGACACGAGGGATGGGTACACCAAAGTATGCTCTCTGGATTACGTACGGTCGTTGTTAAAGGCAAAGAACTCCAGGGGCTTTACCCTAAACCTGATTTATCAACAAATATTATCGCAAAAGCGGAACAAAACGTTATTGGTCGATTGATCGGTTTTGAGGGACCTTGGTGTCGGCTCAAAATTGGGGACCTTAAAGCCTGGATCCCACGCGAACATGTTTGGGGTGTGTACGCATCAGAAAAATAAAACCTTTAGTTTGTGTTGCGTTGACTAAGGGGAACTGTTTGCTTCTTTAAGACTATAGGGCATTGCAAGCGATGAAACGAATGTTTATTGTAAGGAAACTATAATTCAAAGTTAAGAAAAGAGGTCCTTTTGTCTAAGTCTTTAAAACGCTCTTTTATCCACCAGGAAGGGTGGGTATTCATTGCTATTTTTGCAGCATGTTCTGTTTTTCTGAATATGATTTCATGCCTTTTAGGCGTTATAGGGTGGGTCTTAACGGCCTGGTGTATTTATTTTTTTCGAAATCCTGTCCGTGTTGTTCCTGACAAGGAGGGATTAATTGTAAGTCCTGCTGATGGGAAAGTGTGCGCTATTGTAGAAGATATTGAAGCCCCAGCAGAGCTTGGTTTAGGTAAAAAAGAGAAATGGACTCGGGTGAGTATCTTCCTGAGTGTTTTTGATGTGCATGTGAATCGTGTGCCTGTTCAAGGGGAAATTACGCATTCTCACTATCACCCAGGAAAATTCTTTAATGCGTCCTTTGATAAAGCGAGCATTCATAATGAACGCCAAACTTTAGTTGTGAGGGTTAATAACAAAATTTCTATTCCTTTTGTGCAAATTGCGGGCTTAATAGCACGCCGTATTCGATGTGATGTAAAAGTAGGGGATCACGTTGAAACTGGAGGTATTTTTGGTTTGATCCGTTTTGGAAGCCGTATAGATGTTTATCTTCCAAAAGGAATCTCTCCTTTGGTTGTGAAGGGGCAAAGAGCCGTTGCGGGTGAAACCATTTTGGCAGATTTAACATCTAAAGAAAAAGCCAGAACAGGCATTGAGCGTTAGGGATTTAAAAGATGGTTAAGGAATCATCAAAAAAGAAGAAATCTGTTGCACAGCGTCGCTTGAAGCCCTTATCGATTATTCGTCTCGTTCCTAATGCAGCAACCATTGTTGCGCTTTGTATTGGGTTAAGTAGTATTCGTTTCGCTCTAATGGGGCACTATGAACTTGCGGTTGTTGCTATTTTGATGGCGGGCATCTTTGATGCTTTGGATGGACGTTTGGCGCGCTTATTAGGGGTTGCAAGTGATTTTGGGGCAGAGTTAGATTCTTTATCTGATTTTGTGAGTTTTGGCGTTGCACCCGCTGTCGTTGTGTATATTGCTTCTCTTGGGCATTGGCGCGGTATTGGTTGGGCGTTCTCTTTAATATTTGCTGTGTGTATGGCCTTAAGGCTTGCACGTTTTAATATACAATCTCGATTAGACAAAGATGATTCCCCAGTGCCTGCAGGTTATTTTGTTGGTGTGCCTGCTCCTGCAGCAGCGTGGGTTGGTTGTTTGCCTTTAATTGTAGGTTTTGCATTAGAACTAGAAACCCCTTTGCCAACTATATTCCATAGCGTTTTTATTTTAGGGTCTGCCATTTTGATGGTCTCTCGTGTTCCAACTTTTTCTTTGAAAACTGTTCGTGTTCCTCGGAAAATGGTGGGTTTTATTCTTTTGCTTTTTGGTATTTTTATTACAGCTCTGATCAACGCCTTATGGGAGACACTTGCATTACAGCTCGTATTTCTCTCTTTTTCTTTTCAAACCATGCAACCCTTAATCTTCCAAACCTCTTGGCACACTACTTCTTCTGAAAACAAGAAGCTGTCCTACCAACATACGACATATCATGGCACTGGCTTTATGATGACTGAACGTAGGAGTTAATATAAACGAGTTCGAAATAAAAAGAGCCTGCTTGGTAGATCGATGTTCTTTAACTACATATCGTGAAATATCACACCTTGCATTCCACGGAACGTTTTTCCTTTTTATGATCCGCCGATGCCTCCAGAAATACCTAGAGAGAGTAACAAAGAGAAAAAAATCCGTTAAAGTTTTAACAGATAACGCAGTGTTTGACTTGAATCAAAAAACGAATTTTCTGTTGCACATTGGCAAGGTATGGTACCATGAAATTCAAAGATCTGATGTTTTGAATCTCCATGGGTAAGGATGTTTTTTGGAAACATCGGAGTTACTCTTTTGCCTGAATATGGTGGAAAAGCTATGGAGTTACTCGTAGATAAGGAAACGAGAACGAAAAATAAAAACTTACTGGCAGAGCAACAGCAAAGAGACACAGGATAATGGCAGAAGAACGTGACGACCACATCTTGACTTGTTCGCTTTGTATTATACTGGACTGATTCGAATCTTTATAGGGGCTTGTCATTAAGTTATGCTTGATACCTTGAGAGGCGTCAGCTGTGTTGCATTAAGTGCTCTATACTTTGTGAATCCAAATTTGACATTATTTAAACATTTAAATGACGTGATCATACAAAGTGCTGCTAGTTCGTGGC